CTAAAATTTTGACAACGTTTAGACATCTTTGCTAACAAAGCACATCAGATGGTTGGGCCTCAGTTACTAGGGCCTGTGAAAAGAGCAACTTGTTAGCAAGGCACCTTAGAACAGATGGAGTAGTAAACTTAGTGGAAGGTTAAGGGACAGATGGGGCCAAACCCTTAACCCACCACGTGGCCAAGATGGCGAATTTCTGAAAAAATGCAAAGAAACCCTGAACAAATAGATCAAGCCTACATTGGCTAGCCTTTGAGAGGGAACCTAGAGGGGGGTCCCTGGGACCCAGCCTGCGTCACACTCTTCAAGGCACAAGCCAAAAAGTTGTAGAAAAAAAGGGTAGAAAGTTGGACATGAATGGCAGAGAGCAAAGAAAGCCTGAAATTAAACAACTTCTGACCATTTACCATTGCAGTAGCAAAAACTGTACATCTGAGAATGGCATAAAAATGAGGCGCTCTGGCTTTCCAGGGAGCGCAGGAGACATTTTAAAGGGGTTTCATGGCTCAGGCGTGATCCGAGTCACGGCACCATTTATGTTAGGTTTTTAAAAGAGGTAGCCAAGTAAGAACAGCACCAGCACGCACGTGGTATTCAGGTAAGGGGTAGGTTTATTCAGTAGACCTGCTGAGACCAGGCAAGGTTGGCACTCCATGCGGCTGGGAAAGGCCTGGGAATGAGAGAGAGCTGGAAAAGAGAGGAAAGAGAGAGGAAAGAGCTAGAAAAGAGCAGAGAGAGGGGTAAGAACAGTAGCACTCACGTGGTATTCAGGTAAGGGGTAGACCTGCTGGGACCAGGCAAGGTTTGCACTCCACGTGGCTGAGAAAGAGAGGAGAGAGAGAGGAAAGAGCTAGAGCAGAGAGAGCTAGAAAAAAAGAACAAGAGCAAGAGAATAAGAGCAAGAGAGCGTCTGGGCCTGGGCTAGGCCTTATGTAGGGTATGGGCGGGGCAAGGTGTGGCCACATCAAATTCAGTCGTGACCTCAGCGGATGCAGATGTGACCTCTTCCAGGTGCCCCAGTTGCCTAGGTAACGCAGGTACTGGGTGGAGACTTTGCTGCGAGGAGGGTGTGAGTCTGCTAGCCATCCAGGAGCGGACCTTACACTCTGTATCGTTCCAATTTTAGTATATGTGCTGCCGAAGCGAACACTGTCCCTGAGCTTTTTGCTCAGGGCTAGTGCTCTACCTCTTGAGCTACAGCTCCACTGATGTCTTTTCTCATTAATTGGAGATAATAGTCTCACGGACTTTCCTGCCCGGGCCGGCTTCGAACTGCGATCTTCAGATCTCAGCCCGCTGAATAGCTAGTTTTGTTTGTTTTGTTGGTCGTGGGGCCTGAACTCTGGGCCTAGGCGCAGTCCCTCAGCTCTTCAGCTCAAGGCAAGCACTCTACCACCGCTTCCGATTTTCTGTTTATTGGCGGTAAGAGTCTCTAGGACTTTCCTGCCCAGGCGGGCTTTGAACCGTGATCCTCAGATCTCAGCCCGCTGAATAGCTGGGTTTACAGGCATGAGCCACTAGCACCTGGCTGGCACAGCTAGTGTTAATTTAATTGCATAAGTTTGCTGAGGTTCCAAATATGGGGAAATTGGGATGGGCCACAATTCTGCAGCACACAACCCCTTAAGCAACCAAGAGAACCCGAGAACCACCCCTACCTGCGGGGAGGCGTGGCCAGGGCCCGGCCGCAGCTCCGCCCATCAGAACAGCCTCTTCCGGCTCTGAGCACGAGGGACGCAGAACCCGCCCTCCCGGCATCCCCTGCGGCAGCCGCAGAATGAATGAAAAATGACACGCTTCCCTGCACCGCGCGTGCGCAAGCGCCGGCAGCCTGCGCCGACTGCCGCACGTGCACTGGGACCCAGACTCCGCGCACGCACGCTGCGCACGCGCATGTGGCTTTCAGAAGTTCGGCCCGGCGTGGGTCGGGCGGTAGGCGGTGCTGCGCAGAGCGGAGGATGGGGCGGGGCGGGGCGGGGCGGAGGACGCCGGGGCCAGGCGGGCCTGCGGAAGGCGCGTGTCCCAGCCTTGGTGCTGCTGCGGACCACGGGGCCATGGAGGCCGAGCTGAGCTCTGAGCGCAACGGCCAGGCTCGGGCGCCCGAGGACAGCGCG